ATTTAGGTCTGACCCTCAGATTTCGCAGCCAAGCCTGCTAAACTAGTTTAAAAGAAAGCAACAAGTAAAATATTGCTAGATCTGCTGGTGCCAAATGGCGTTTTCTTACACAGGTAGGTTTCTATAGTATTACAGCTCTCTGCAGTGGAGATTTTCTCTGTGAGTAGCAGGGGATGATGTCTCAACACTCATTGTTGCAGCACTAATGCTAAGGACTTGTTCGACACCTTTTGGCTCTCTCAAGTTCAGATGAACCGCCTGAGTCAGTCATTGTCTTTACCTGGTGAGTTATGCTGAAGAACTGGTTTTAAGTTATTCTTATGCCTCCTGTGGCAATAGAGATAATTTCCTTCATTGCAACAATCTCTGAGACACAGCTGCTGGTCTCACAGCTGAAGAGGAACTTTTTAACCCACATAGGGTTGGATATCACCATTCACCAAAGTTCTCTGTGCTTCTGAGAATGATGCTGAGAGTTCCTCTTTGTGCTTCTCTTGTTTCAATCAGATGAAGTCCTCAAAAACTTCTCCAAAATTCTGGGGAATTATCCTAGTTTATACTAGACTGCTTTCCTGACAACTGTGAACATAAGACACTTCCCTAACTAGTTGAAGTGGTTGTTTGATTTACCATTTGTGGAAATTACTCCTTCTTACAGTTAAAAGACTTCAAAACACAGAGGCAAGAGGTCAGCCAGATCCCAATGCTAAATACACAAAATACAAGGTTCAACTTCATAGAATCACAGAATAGTTTGTGTTGGAAGGGACCTTTAAAAACCATTTAATTCCAACACCCTGCCATGTGCTGGCTCACCTTTCAGTAGACCAGGTTGTTCAGAGCTCCATCCAGTCTGACCTTGAACACTCCAGGGATGGAGCACTCACAGCCCCCCAGGCAAGCTGTGCCAGTGCCTCACCATGCTCATAGCAAAGAAGCTCTTCCTAATACCTCATCTAAACCCACCCTTGGGCAGCTTGAAGCTATTCCCCCTTGTCCTGTCACTCGATGTCCTTGTAAAGAGTTTCTCGTACAGCTCTCTTTCTGTCCTGTCAGGTACTGGAAAGACTTAGTTTCTTTCTGTCTTTTCAATAGAAAAAGAGAAAACTATTTCAGAAAGGTGATGAAATATTTACAGTGAGTCCCTTAACACTGCTGGTAAACTACCCAAATAAAAAGGGCATTGAGATCCCAGCTGTCTAACAGAAAGTGACAGAAGGGACTGAGTGGCACCAATAACAGTGCCCTGCCCCTTTTGGAATGGGGAGAAAAATTAAAAGAACATTAGAGACATTGTCAACCTGTAAAAGGACACTGTTGAGGAAGATCCTGTAGTGTGCATCAACATGGGATCCCAACCATACTGCACAAGGTTGCATTTTTTTTTTTTAAATCCAGGTTTATATTTGATGAAATTAATGAGACTGATCCATCATGCAGAGTTTGCACAGGAGTTTTGGAAAAATTCCATTTTTTAAAATGATATATCAGTCTGATAGAAGTGCATGAGGTGTGGATGTAAAACATGATCAAAACAGAAGTCTAACTGTCCCCGATGCAAATTCTCTGTAATGATGCACAAACTGAAGAGTAAAAGAGAATCAGGATCATTTTTTTCTATACTTACAAGCATACCATGTCATTCATTATACATTTTTTAAAGTATATTGGTACTGAACAGTGATACATTGCATTAAAGCGACATACAGGCACAGTCTTGAACTTAGTCTGGGAACATTCAAATTTTCAAATAAGAAAGGTGAAAGTGAGCTGTGAAACACCAACCAAAAGTTTTTAATTTCTAGACCAAAAGAAGAGCCTGAACATAGGGAAAATGACTATTTTGTTTCATTCTCAGAGAGAAGACCCGACTTTTGTGAAGCTAAGTTAAATACATTGAGGTGTAGAAAACTGTCTATGAAATTGCACATCCATATTATTACCATTTCCTGAACAGGTTTTGCCCCAGAATTTCTGCTAGAAACTGTACTTCATACAGTAGAGCCAAGAGAGATATAACTGCAATTTCTGATGGGATATTTCTTTCCAGAAACTGTACTCCCAGAACCAAATGGATAGAGAGAAGCTGATTTTTTTAAAAAAGAAATGAAAACCGATGCATTTTCATAGTCAAGTTGGTGGAAAAATGTACCAGAAATAGATTTGTTTACAGAACAGTTTCTACCGTGCAAAAGACTGAAGGAAGCAGCAGTGCCTTGTAGAATGTTTACAGACTATGAAAAAGGAATCCAAACATGATACTGACTCTCTCTCAAGGCTCTCCATCACTACATGACACTGTCCTTTGCTCCTTTTTTAAATTTTAAAAGAAAAGAATAGGTTTTACAGTGTCATGTCTCACATTCAGAAAGAACTCCTGTAAATAACTGCAAACCTTCTCACAAAATTCACCTCTAAGCTGTCTTCTTCCAAGATGCCTACTGAAAAAATCTGGCAATAGTTGGGCTGTTCATGTGCTGCGGCTGCTGTCTAACGCATTGACCAAAAAAGCAAGCAAGTTTCCTGATAAATTCTCCTGTACTTGGATATATCGATTATTCTAAACTTACAGTAGCAAAAAATATGCATCTTTTCCACAAGCGTGGCTCCTTCCTTTGCGAGCTATGGGGAGAAGAAGGAAGCGCCGCGGTTCCGGCCGGGGAAGCCGGGCCCCGGCCGAATTTCCCATCCCAAGAAAAAAAAGGGGGGCCGAAGCCCCCGGCAACCCGGCCGAACCCCCAACTCCCAACAAACCCGGCCTGGGGGGGGGGCCCCCAAGGGGAACCGCAAGAACAACAACAAGAACAACAATCCAAGGGCCCTAAAGTCAATAAAAAAAAAAACAACCAATAAAAAAAAAAAAAAAATAAGTAAAAAATAAAACTGGGGGTTTTAATAAAAAACGGAGAAAAAAAAAAAAAAAATCAATTTCCAACTGACATACAGAACTTTTTTCTTCATTATTTTGGTTTGAACTCCAGAACCCTCCAAACAGGCCAGTTGTATTTCCCATCTTCACTCCAAGACCCGAATAAAAATGAATTTTAGGTCATGAATGAAAAGGCAAAAAATATGTAAGAGCATCCATATATTTTCAGATCTTAAGAAAAAATGGAGAAAACCCCTAAATTCACATGAAAGAAACATGCAAAATGTATAAATAAGTATACTCCCAGGTAATTGAAAGGAGCTGGAGGTATGAAAAAATTAGTTTAAATGCTTTGCTGCCTTTAGAGGGAACTTCTTTGGTACTGCAGAAAGCTGTACCTAAACTAGAAGATTTGAGAAACCTTTTACTAAGAAAGATGACTATTAAGAAGCATTGTTGAAAAATATTCAATTGAAACATTCATTCCAGAGTATGAATACATGTTAAAAGAGGTTTGAGTCTATCCACTTGCCCATTAGAGTGGAACTAAGGTAAGGCACTTCTGAAGAGAGATTAAACTTCCATAAAACAGGGACCATTTCTTTCCCAAATGAAATAATAAACTTCTCATTGCATTGAAAGCTGACACTGGAGAAGACAAGAAACATAAAAAACAAAGGCATGTTTAATAGACTATTTTGGATACATTGTTTCATCAGTCTCATGGCTACCTTCCAGTTTATGGTATAAATAGGAAATCCTAATCAGGATCTGTTTTCAAATATATTTTATAAAGACATAAAGTACCTTCTTCCATATTTCTTTTTCAGGTTCATCCGATAAAGACATATTATCATGTTATGGAGAATTCTGAATTACAGTTCAGTGCAATATTTTTTGAGGCAAGTGAACATACTTTAGGCAGGATAATCTACCCAGCCTTTTCCTGTTCCCTTATATTACATAATAATCCCCTGTGTTCCTGCTGCTTTTCTTCTTTCTTGTATTTCTGCTGATCTCTGTTGCTTATGTATTTACTTTTCCCTTAGGAGCGTATACAAAAACAAGACCTAAATATCTTAATCTCTTCAGCTTAATTAGACATGAAAGTAACTCTGGCCTCATTAAGAAATGTCCTGAAGCAACAGGTAGAATGGAATAAGATGAGTTTGAAATCTGATCCTGAGATCAGCTTGTCAGACAGTCCTAGTTATTAAAGAAACCTGGGAAATATCTACTGTAGAGGAAGACTAAATGCTTAGTATAAATCTCAGTGGAAGAGATGACTAATTAGAGATAATTATACACAGATTTCTTGCATTAAAAGTGCTTTAAAACATAAACATTCAAATTTTACTTAGACTCCCAAGTGCTTCCTAGGAGGCAAGCTTGCAAAAAATTTCTTTTAAATTACATCAAATGCTTTTAAACCAAGGGTTTTTTTTAAGAGGCATCTCACTGAAAATTGTGATGCCTTGAATTTTCTTGTTACCTTCACTTTTGTAAGAAAGTGCAATAAAATTTGTGGCCTAAGCTAGTATCCTAATTGTCCCATAACAAAGGTAATCGAGAGTTGTGCTGGACTAATTTGCTACTGTTCTCTAACAACTTCAAACCCAAAATTCACTTGATAGGAAGACATTGAACTGTCTTCAGAACTGAGGATGAAACTGTCAGAAAATTGATAAGTAACATAAAAATGGTGCTAAAAAATACATTATCTACAAGATGAAACCAACCAAACAAAATCAGAACAGAAATTCAACCCAAATGAAACAAACCAAATGACCCAAAACTTAGGATACAATCCATTAGCAAATTTCTGTAATTCTTATTGGAAACTACAAAGGTTGCTGTAGAAGATTGTCAGATGTATTCATCCTGTAGCATCACTTACATTGGAGCAAATAGAGAATCTCAAATTTTTACAAGGGAATTCCATTTCTTTTTCAGCTTTGTATTTGTTAGCAAAATCTCTCAAATGACTCCCACAAAAAGTGCAGGTTGAAACTGATGGATGTGGAGTTTTTTGAAGTAGTAAATTAAGGCATCTTATTTCACACAAACATTTTTGAGGCTTACACCATTATCATGCAGGCGTTCAGGAAAATCTATATATACACTCCTTTATTCAAGATTCAATAAGAATGTTTTTAATCCTTTAAAATACTGTCAATTCATATGGTTCCTTTTGGAAAAACAAGAACACACAGCAATCAACCATTAATCCATCCGTCCACATGGATAGCTGTCAGATTCTTTATCTTCTATTGCACATTGATGTCAGGAGAACATAGAATGCCTTTATTAACAGCTTGAAGAGTGGGAAAAGTGTACACTTGGCGAGTTTGTGAAGAATACCAAGTGGAGGTGGATGGTCCATGCACAGCCCTGGGATCACAGGACCCTCAGGAAGTTCAGCGGGAGTAGCACAAAGTTCTGCACGTGGGTGCAGAGGATCATGTGTTTGTACAGTGCAGAGGCGAGGCAGGGCAGCAGGGGCACCTGGGGATCCTGAGGAACAAACTGAACAAGAATTAGCAAAATATCCCTGGAAGACAGCGGGCCAGGCTGCATCCAGCAGGTGGGGGGAGCCATGCTGTGCCTCTCTGCAGGATGTCTGAGTCCACACCTGACAGATGGTTTAGAGCTCCCCTAGTACAAGACAGACAGCAACTTTCTGGAGCGAGTTCAGCAGGCTGGGACAGGAAAAAAGGCAACAGGCACACATGAGAAATTACAGCTAGATATTATGAGAAATGTTTTCACCATGGAAATACTAGAACATGTTGCCCGGAGGGGTCTTTGGAAATATTCAAACTTGAAAGGTCCAGGCTCCAAGTAGGAGTAAGATCAAAAATTTCTTGAGATGCCTTCCAGCTTATTTTTTAGTTCTACGACCGATCACTTTTTTCATTACTCCAAAAGAAAACAGGATAAAAATACTTTCATTTAAAGCATTCACGATCACTCTATAACAAACTATTCATTTAATTTATTCAACCCATTGTTCCAATGAGATAATAATCCTGAATAGCCGCAGAAAACACAAACATTTTTCAGCACTTCACTTGAACTTTGAAAAGTGAGGTTTATATCATCATTGTCCTTCCAGCCCTTACTGTCTTCTAGTTATGGTCATTGCTATCAGCATATATTGAAAGAGATTAGTGATTCTGAGTGGGTAAAGAGTTAGATTATGCAGCTGGTCATAACAAGTAGTGAGTGTTTAATCACTGTGAAAAGTTTTAAAATGAGCTGTTCTTCAAGTATAAAAATCTCAGGTTTTATCACTAGAATTGTTGCTTCATTGCTAACCATTTCAATAGTTTGAACTAAGAGCACATGTACAACCTAAATATTCTCACTACTTCTCTTTTTCCACTTGCTTACTGTCAGAATATCAGTGGTGATGGGGATAGAGAGTCAACAAAAGCAGAGTGTGGACACCCATGATCATACAAAATACACTGCAATGCAAGTAAGCACTGCAGGTGGCTATAAAAATGTCAGGAAAAGGCAATGAATTTGCAAGATTTGTCTTGCCAGTAAAAAGTGAAATTAGTAGAACAGTGTGGCCACATTTGTTCTATAACTGGATTTTTTAAGCAGAAAATAATCTTTTTAGAAGCAGTCTTCAAGTCAAAATGGAATTGGACAGGAATTATTTATCAGACACAGTAATAATCTGTAGCCGGATGGTGTCTGAGTCTTACAGTGCTATAGCAAGCACATAGACAATTACAGAAATATTCTGATAATTATTCATGGAGTTTGAGGGTGCCAGTTGCATGAGGCTGGATCCCACATTCTGTAGCACATTTTTAACTAAAAGTTATGGGACGAAAATGTTAGTATTCAAGTCTGCTTGCTCTTCTCTGCTAATTTACATTTATATTCTTAATGTCTAGATTGAGCCTAGGGAAATTTAAAACTCTATTTCATTAATGCTAACTTTTACAGAAATCCCAATATGCACAGAAGTTCCTAGATTGCAAGGCTAGTTAGATGAGAATGCAGAAGCTAAATGTAATTGCTGGGTGGTTATGACAGTTAAATATGTACTGTCAGTTTTGACTTCTGAAATCCCTATAGACATCAACATACAGTTCTAAAAAATATGAAGTAACAGAACAATTAATTAAAATATCTTTAAAACAAGTATTTTGAGTTTACACACATTCTACAGATATGTTAGAAACTGTTACAGCACAACAACATTGTATTTGGTTTTTCTGAAGTTCCTGTGAAGAGTTAGATAATTTGATCTCTCCTTTTTTTCAGCTTCTGAATGGATGGCAAATTACAAATACATGCGCAGCCATTTTAAGAATCCAGACTGGGTTGTGTTCAGGCAGGCTTTTGTGAAGTGCAGCAGTTTTACAATGCTAATTCAGCATTAATGGCACCCATTTACTGGCTTCCATCAGCTCTGAGCAGAAGGTTCTGATGCAACTTCTTTAAAAATAACCCATTTAGAGATCTGGGTGCAGAAATCTTGGTCACCTGCAGAAATCTGTGCATAGATATTTATATATTTGTTTATATACGTATGTATATACAAATATATAGAGATATATGTACACACACTTCTGTTTGGGCAATTATGGCCTCAGGAGGAATAAAAGTTGATAATTTTGTTACACAGTGATTTAGTGCCTTAGGTCTGCCTGCAATTTCTGCTAGGCACATTACTCCTCACCCGAAGTTCTGAGCTGCCTCAACCCTTTGGAAGCTTTGTAATTCACATGCATTAAAAAAACAAAAAAACCCAACCAACCAACCAACCAACCAAACAAAAAAAACCCACTAAAAAAATCCACATTTTCTTTAAGTGATCACAAAATTCTGTTTGTATCCATCTTGCACAGATAAAACTGCACCAGTATGAGACAGCAGAGAATCAGATGGAGAATAAATAAATTAAAAGTGATTATGAAATATACATGAGGCATTTATGAAAAACCATATTTTCTGCAAGGTAATTTCTTATGGAATTTATAGTACAGTATATCAACAAAGAGAGAAACTGGAGAAAAGGTTAATAGCTAGACTAATTATAAATCCAGATACATATAATTCAGCCTCCTAAACACCATCACACCCTTGCACTTTAAATAAGAAGCTATAAGGGAAATACTCTTTTGGAACCTATTGGTCTTTTCGGTAATATTTATTAGTAAACTAGCATTCAATTAATTATTTATACATTTCTGACACCCATCTCATTTGTTTGATATCTAATTTTTATCAGTAGTACTTTGTAGACATGCAAGTACTTCAGGAAAGCAGAATGAATTGTAAATCTGCAATAGCCTTTGGGAAAATGTATTGAGTATGTAAACCTGACTAAATAACACATGGGGATGTGGGCCAGTAAGTTAAACTTACAGTTTTGCTATACTTGAAGTAAATTTTAATGTTTCTGGTATTCATCCGAAGTGCAAAATCTTTAATTTCAATTTTCACTGTGCAGCAGTGGATCAGAAACACAATTATTCTCATGGGAATGAGAACAAAAGCACCAGAGAGTTCCCTCATGCCTCTTTCACCTCAGGCTCCTTTATGTTGTTTGTGTATGGGATGGGAAGAGGACAATCAATTTCAAACAATCTAACATAATATTTGGTATAAAAACTAATGACTGGATGAGAAGCCTGTTTATAAATGAGTGAATTATGTGCAGTTCAGTTGTTTGCAAATGGATTGGCTCACATATGTGTTTAGATTTATATATATATATATATATATATATATACACACACACATAGTAGGGAACCTTAACTTGGTAGAGAAATATTATTACATATCCTGTGGTCTACTGATGGGATGTACATGTAGTATAGCATCTCACAGAGATTTGAATTTTAGAATTTGGAAAAATAGGACCTTAAGCCTACGTACTATTTAAAAGAAACTAATATCTGGCTGTGAAAATGCATAGGAAAGGTTTCTGGTGTGAAAATAAATGAGATATGTCAATCTTAGTAGAAAAATGTAGAAGTACTATGAGTCATGAGTAGAAATAATAATGAAATATAGGCAGAGTTGAAAGATAAATGGAAAAGTGCAGTAATACTTCTTAAAACTGCGCTTTGCCATGCAACATGGCTAAATAGTATCTATCTCAACAAATTTTTACAGCTAAAGATAATATTTTTCAGATTTAAATGCATTACTTTTTTCCTCTTTCAAAGATCTCACATTACTATAAATGCCACAATTCTCAGTTGTTTGATAATTTTACATAGTTGCCAGAAAAAGATAACTTTTTTTTCTCAGAGCTCATCTGATGTAATTATCCTTTTGCTGGATAACCTATCAAATGCAGAAAGAGCTTCTGTTCCATAAAACTCTCAGTGGTCGTGGAGAGCAAAGAATTACACACATTTATTTTTTCTCAAAACTAATAAAAGTGACAACTAGCCAAACCTCTCAGTAACTGCAACTAAATGCAATGGCTTCCAGCCTTTTGGATTCACTGCTGACATTTTTCCTGAATCCTATTCCCTCATCCTTGCTAGAGATAAAAAGCAGGAGGACCAGAACTGATGGAATGCAAACTGCAAGGGTCAAAGGAGTTACTGCAGCCAGTGGTGCTGGAATCAATCTTGGCTGAGGAGAAATGGAAAAAATCTGAGCCACCTTGCAGCTCCTGCTTCCTTACTGACTGATGATGTGGGAGTAATGCAAAAAATAAGTAAAGACTCTTATGGCACTGCTTCAGAGTCACCATCTTAGGAATCCAGCACTAAGTCAGGTCTACTCAAATTAGGTCCTGCTCCCAGTTTGGCAGCTGGACTATATTCCAGACCTTATTTTTTCTTCTGTTAGAACAGCACTGGCACAAAGAACATTAGTCTCTGTTAATGAAAAGTATGTCATGGGAGTGTGAAAAATCCCTCTTGGTATTGTGTGGAAGAACAGAACAGAAAAATGTAATAACTTTACAAGTGTAGAAAATAACTTTTGATATTTAGCTGCATGAAGATATGTACATAATGCTTACTGTACAGATTCTTTTGAACCAATATACTATTCCTTTTAAGAGAAATTGTTAGCAATCTATTTTCAAGAAATATAAATTTTTCTTTAAAAATGTGACCAACCTAAAAAACCTCTTCAAAAGCCCATCAAACAAAACCAAACTTTACACCAGTTGATAATCTCACACAGGCCTGCTATAAACACAAGCATTAAATCTTTATCTCATTACCTCTTTCCTTGTTAGAGGCTAAATGATACTTCTTTCCATTGTAAGAGGAATGAAGAGTATGCATTTTCTGAGCTGCTGAAGCTTGTTATTGAAATTAAGCTTTATGACACTGCTGTTTTCCATACTTGGACCCAGTCTATTGGATTTGTTTGGCTGCGTCCAGAAATAAGAAGGGCAAATGTCAATGCATTTTGAAAAGTAAAGGCAAGGAGCAGGTTGTTAAATGGGCTGAGTTAAGCAATCTCCTAGGAAGGACAGCTACTAATAAAAGTAGTATTGCTTGTCCTAATGTGCTCCT